GATAAAGCATCCAGGTAAAACTTGGAGGCCCCTTTCTGCCCGCTCCATGCTGGTGTGATCAGCTGCCCTGGCTTGCTCAGTGCTTTGGAGTCTATCCAAAAGCAAACAGCATCCTCAACGTGCCCTGTAAAGCAATACATCAGGTGCTGTTGTTCCAGCACAGGATAAGGGATGCGAGCAGAGGCCCCATCTACCCTAATGCATTTAAATAGAGCTTAAAAGATGCAGCTCACATGCTAGTGTGAAACAATTTACATTGCAATTACTCTCTTGTTCCAGATTAGCTGCTGGGCCCTGTCTGCTAAACCCTTCCTTTCCTCCAGCCCCGTACCCAGCTCAGTTATCCTCCTGCACCGGGCTCTAAGCTGATGATTCATGTATTAATACATGGTTATGAGATGCCTCCTCTCCCTCCGCTGCTGCTCCCTGTCTCTGGCAATAGAAGGAGGAAATGAATCCTTAAAACCTCAGGAACAAATAGTCCATGCGTGGAGATCAATCCTGCTCGCACTGACGTCAATGGAAACATTCCCATCACTGCAGCGGCGGCAGGATTAGTCCCATCTATCGGATATTAGCTTGAGTTATAACCTCACCAACCCCCATGGGGTGAAGGGGGGAGCTGTATCTGTTAGAACAACTGGTGGGCATTAAGTGCCTGTTAAAGATGTTGCTCTTTAGTGGGGGAAAGCAGCTACTGGGGTTGTGAGCAGGGAGGTGCCTGTGTTGTAAGGAGCATCCACGCCTGCACACGGGGCTGGAGCAAGTCACTGCTCTTTAAGTAACCCCTCCACCTCCCCTGTGGAAAGGAGGGGATGGAGCAGGAAAAAGCACCTTGAACCCCACCAGCCCCCTTGCGCCCCATGGACCATCCACCCCGCTGCAAATAACCATTGCCAAAGGTGGAATCAGCCCCTCCAGCTGTGCCCAAGGAGGGGTCTAACATCTGGGCATCAGCAGCAGAGAGGAAGGCGTCGTTGTCGCACTCGGTGCTTGTTGGGCCCCTCCTGGAACACCGTGTCCGGTTCCAGCCCTGCTGCACAAAATAGGATGTGGATGGGATGGAGAGGGTCCAGAGAAGGGCCACAAAGATAATCCAAGGAGGGAAAGGCTGAGAGAGCTCAGCCTGGGGAAGAGAAGGCTCAGGGAGACCTCATCCCCCTGTTCCAGGATCTAAAGGAGGCTACAGAAAAGATGGAGACTCCCTTTGTACAAGGAGTCCCATGGAACAGAGGAGGGGTGATGGGCACAGTGATTCCCACTGGACACAAGAGGAAAATGTTTCCCAATGGGAACAACCAGCCACTGGAATAATCTGCCCGGGGAAGTGATGACTCCCAGCACTGACACTGTTAAGGCTCAGCTGGGTACAGGGTACAGCTGGGACACCCAGTGTGGGTGATGCTGTGCCTGGAAAGGTTGGAGCAGATGGCCCTTGAGCTCCCTCCCAACCTGGAATTCCAGCATTTCAAGGTTTGCTGCTGCTTTAATATGCAGAATCCCCCTTTCTCCTTGGTACATGCTCCTCCATCCCAAAGCCTTTCCCTGTCCCTCTCAGTCCCCAATTCCACCAGTCTGGGACCAGTCGTACTGGGGACAGTGGGAGCAGTCACATCCCCTCCCTGTACAGCGTTTCCCACCCGAATTCCCATCTCTGGAGCATCTCCCGCCCTGTCCCACTGGCCAGAGGGAAGAAAAAGACCCAGAAATCCCCATTTCCCTAATGAGAAGCCACAAACTAATGAGCCACCATCCAAGCCAAATATTAGGAGTCGCATAATAATTATATCAACGAAATCAACAACAATTTAACAGCAAAGGTTAATTACAGTGAGTTAACAACCTGATAGACAAACTGATGCTCCAACAGTTGGGCAGACTAATTGAAAGCTAATGTTGCTCCGAAATTGAATTTCAAATGCATTTTACATCCATAGTTCATTTTGCTAATTTCATTCCCTGGATCCTGTAATTTGTTGGCAGTGATTGATTACTTAAGTGAATAATATCTATGTACAGGACCACTTAGCGATAGAATATGCCAAATGTGATCATACTGATAATAAATAGTTTCTTTAAGGTTTCCTGCTCTGTCTGGGTTTCGGGGGAGCTGGGATGTGGTGCTGCTTTGGGCAGTCATCAGCTCCTGTTTTGGTGTCTCCTTTACATGGTGCATTTCATCCCTTCCCAATTCCTCCTTTTCATTTATCCATGGATGCACTGTGTGTATGGAGGGCTTATGAGGGAATACCTGCAGGTGATAATCCATGCAAGAGATGCCTTCAACCAGCAGTCTCCAACCCGAAACCCAGCACCGAGCCCCAGCCCAGCATCCCGATGACATCCCAACACCCATCCCGTTGTCCCAAGGCCCAGCCCGCACTGGAACCCCATCGGATGGCGTTGCTGCCTCTCCTTGGTGGCTCTGGAGCATCCGTTGCTGCAAGATGGATGCAATTATATCTTAATCCAATTTGAATCCAGGGAATGATGCGCTCTGCATCCACCCAACAATCAGCCGTTGCTATGCTACAGCCCCAGTGTAATCACAGTAATGAAGCCAGCCAAGGGAAGGCATTAATCAGGAGGCAGATCATTATCCAGCCTCACCCCCTGCCTCCCCAGCTCCTGATGTGGAGCCTCCTGTTGCTTTAACATGAGAAACAACCCCAAACCAAGGCAGATCCCGGGATTCAGGGAGCAGCCCCTCTCTGGGTACCATTTCCCATCCCAGCTGTGCCTTGGTTTGGCCACGGCGCCCAAGCTGCCCCATGTCCCATTGCTCCAGCACCGAAACCCCGTGAGCAGCAGCAGTTCCTCCCCCCCAGTTCCACATCCTTTAATCATTTATGCCTCAGATCCAGAGGAAACCTCTGGCGAAGCGGAGATGTGCGGATGGAAGGGGAAGGGCTTCATCAATTTTTCATGGCCGTGGCTGGGATGTGAGCAGCTCAGGATTCATCCTGTCAGCACTGACCTTGAGGCTGCCTCCATCTCTCCTTGGAGGCGCCCACCAGTGATGGGAAGCACGCTGGAATGGGAGTGGGAGCAAAGCCTCTGAGATGCTTCATGCTCCAGGGCACCAAACTACCTCCTATAACGTGCCAGGACAGGGAATGCAAGCCCAAACCAGGAGGAGCACCCAAATTCCTCCCCATAAACCATGTGCATGACTGGAACAGGCTACTCCACATCTCAGTGTCCCCAAAACACCAACACCTTCCTATAAAGGGAAAGTAAAACCAAAACGCACTCAGCTCCCGATCCCTTTCCAAAGCATCCCCAAGCAAGGCTGCATGATTCCCATCAGGGCGGCATTCCTGACTCGTAGGGGAGGAATTCCCCTGCTTTGGGCACGCTGGTGCCACGGGGCTCACAAAGAGCTCCGTTTGCCTCTTTTCTTGGTGGGTTTTGAGCTGCGGCAGCCGGTGAGCGCTTCGGCCCCTGCGATGCATCGGGATGCGGGATGTAAATGAGCATCAGCAGACGCATCCTGATTCATTCTGCTTGTAATTGCCTCGGAGCTGGGGCGAGCTGTAATTAACTCTTCGTTATGAGCGAGAGGAGGGTGATGCCACCACGTATAGCCCCTGTTCTTTGCAATAGGATGCATGCGCGGGAATGGGGTCAGAGCGGGAGCGCAGCATCCCTGAATCCCCATCGCTCCATGTGCGGAGCTGCAGCTGAACCGGTTTTCCCTCGGACCTGGCAAACAGGATCTTGCATCATCCCCGGGTGGAAACAACCCCTTTAACTACAGCGCCTGGGCTGCCCTTGTGGTGATGCTGGTACATGGGAGCCCTGCTCCGTCCCGCAGCGGATCAGGGATCACATCCAGGTTCTGCTTCTCTAGCAAAGGCCCTGAGCAGGTTTGGCTCTGCATGAGCCTTTGTTCTCCCCACGGGTGACTTTGCCATGGGATGAGTGTCTCCTCTACGTTAATCTATTACTCTTAACACCAAAGCATCAGTGTATGGCAAGGGTGGCCCTTAAGAGACCCTGTAAACCAGCCTCATGTCACCATTTGATCTGAGCACCGATGGGTCCCCGTGGGTCACACCAGCAACGCACGGGGCATCCCTGCATCCCGTCAGCCATCCCGAGGCGGACGGGCTGTGCTGGGCACATCCACACAGCCTGTTTTCTGGTGTAAAGAGAGGTAAAAGGGCTCTTGTGCTGCAGAGCAGGGCTGGGACAGGACAGGGGTGCCCCATTATGGGGCTTGGCAGAAGGATGCTGGGTGTCCCGCTGGAAAGGAGCAGCCGGAGCTGCTGGGGCCGGGCTTGGGACCAGCGCAGCCCCGGTCAGCCGGCACGGCCCGGCCCCGGTTACCGAGGCTGCAGTGCCCTCCTGTGGGCATCCCACAGGGCTCCCCCGTCCCAGAGCCCTGCGAAGTGATGCAGGACCCCGTCCACCCCATCCCAGAGCCTTGCCAGGTGATGCAGGACCCCATTTCTCCATCCTAAAGCCCTGCAAGGTGATGCAAGACCCCGTCCACCCCATCCCAGAGCCTTGCCAGGTGATGCAGGACCCCATTTCTCCATCCTAAAGCTCTGCAAGGTGATGCAGCATCCCAGTCACCCCATCCCAGAGCCTTGCCAGGTGATGCAGGACCCCATTTCCCCATCCTAAAGCCCTGCGGAGTGATGCGGGACCCCATCCACCCCATCCCAGAGCCTTGCCAGGTGATGCAGGACCCCATTTCTCCATCCTAAAGCCCTGCAAGGTGATGCAGCATCCCGGTCACCCCATTCCAGAGCCCTGCGAAGTGATGCAAGACCCCGTCCACCCCATCCCAGAGCCTTGCCAGATGATGCAGGACCCCATTTCTCCACCCTAAAGCCCTGCGGAGTGATGCATGACCCCGGTCACCCCATCCCAGAGCCTTGCGAGGTGATGCAGGATCCTTGTCCCCACATGGCTCCAGGACCCCATCCCATTCACCTCAAAGCCCTGTGGCCCAACCCAGCCCCTTCCCCTCCCTGTGCATCCCACCCTCCCCAGTTCTGACCCAGCATCACCGGGAGCCACCCCAGGCAGTGAATACGGATCCATCCATGGAGCCCATCACCCCGCATCAGGCCTGGTGGCGCCGGCAGGGGACCAGGGCTGCTGCTAGAAATGCTCATTGAAGAAGAGGAAGCCGAAGCGCTCGCAGTGCACCCGGATGACCTTGGCAAGCGCTGGGGAGCCGCAGAAGAAGACCTGGACCTTCCCTCTCTTCTCCTCTGCCACCTTCCCAAACACCTGAGGCGAGAGGAGGCGGTGGCGGAGCCAGCCCCGGTGGCCGGATCCCTGCCTGCGTTGGGAGCTGCTGCCCGGTGCAACCCCGCGGCCCTGCGATGCTTCCCCACGGGAGGAGGAGGCTTCCCTGGATCCGGATACCCCTGGGGTGGATCCTTGTGCTCCGGAACAGGGCTCTCCTGTGGTGTCCCCGCAGGAGGAGCGCGTTATGGGGACACGGCTCCCTTCCCATCCCTCACCTTGCTCCAGTCGGGGCGGCCGGGCTGGGTCCTGGTGCGCAGCCCGGTGATGGAGTCGCGGTGCTCCTTGGCCGCCAGCAGGTCCAGCGCCATCTGCAGCGCGATGCCCTTCATGTCGTGCTTGCCCAGGGCCGAGGTCATGTACATGTGCATCTCCAGGAAGCGCCCTGCGTGGGCCCGGGGGATGCTCACGCCTCCGGCCCCACATCGGGAGCACTGGGGCTGGGGTATCCCTGCCTCCCGCTCACCTCCCGGCTCCTGCTCAGCCTGCTCCAGTTCCAGCTTGGTCAGCAGGCTGACGAACCACTCAAAGTGCTTCTGGTCCCGGTTGATCCAGATGAAGTCAACCTGGAAGGACACAGCAGCTCCCCGTTCGGAGCAGGCCGGGGACCACATCCAAGCCAGCCCTGCTGGACCGCAGGGATGCTCATGGGGATACCTCCTGCAGCCATCCCCAGGGTACACCTTGGTCCCACATCCCCCTCCATCATCTACCTTCCTGAGTGTCATCTCCTCATCCCGCAGGTCCTCACACCATGAATAGTGGCAGCTGGGGCAGCTCTGCTTTCGCCGGCGGTACCTGCATGGGCAGACACAGCCCTGCCTGCATCCCTCGGACCCCACAGGCCTCTGATGGAGACCTCGAGTTCCTCACCAGCTCTGGTTCATGCCGGTGGCTAACGCAGTGTACATCACATCCTGTGCCTCCCAACGGCGCACCAGAGCTCCACCAGCACATCCACAGCCTGGGCTGCTGCACCAGCACCAACCTGTACATGATGCTCTGCAGAATGGAGGCGAAGGGGGTGATGCCGATGCCAGCGCCGATGAGCACAGCATGCTCCGAGGTGAAGATCCTCCGGGTCGGGGTCCCATAGGGGCCATCAATGTAGCACTGGGAGAGATGAGGAACTTGGGGAGCACTCAGGCAGCCCGTGGGTGCTAGAGCAACTCTTAGGCTGTGAGTAGGAGCAGGCTTATGGAACCCAGGCTGACTTTGGGGTCTTGTATGGGAGTGTTATGGGAGCAAAGGAAGAGGAGGATGAAGCCATGCAGTAGCGCAGGGTTTGGATCAGCCCCAGGCGGGACCATCCATGCACAGGGGCACACTTATGGGATGCTGAGCACAGCCCTGCTCACCAGAGCCAGGGAAGGACCGAGCATCCCTCACCTTGATGCTGCAGAGCCGATGGGGCTCCCCCAGATCAGTGGGGACCTGTGAGATGAAGAGAGCCGTGACCACCTCCCCATCACCCAAACCCCTCCATGGCAGCTAAAGCACAACCCCTGCTTGTTCCAGAGGCTGGGATTTGGGGTGGGGTTTTCCAGGCTGCACACATGCTTCCAGCCGCATCCCTTGGGCTCAACATCCCTTGGACATCCCAACACCCAGCAGTAGGAACCCATCGCCTCATGACATTATGTGCATCATCCCTTTGAGCATCCATTCAAAGGTCAATTATCCCAATCCCCACACGAGCTGGGAAGGGAGGAGCTGGTTCACAGCAGCCAGGAACCGCTGCTCACCAGGGGACAGGTAAAAGCAAGAGGGTGACAGGGACACTCATTAAACCCAGTGCATGCAGATGCTCTATCTGCCAGGGCTGCTCCTCCAGCCCAGACACAATCAACATGGCAGGGATAAGGGCCTGTAACGGGTGCTGGTGGGAGATCTGAAGGGGGCCTATAGGGATGCTGGGGAGGGACTCTTCATTAGGGACTGCAGTGGTAGGACAAGGGGTAATGGGTTAAAACTGAAACAGGGGAAGTTTAGATAGGATATAAGGAGGGAATTCTTTCCTGTTAGGGTGGTGAGGCACTGGAATGGGTGCCCAGGGAGGTTGTGAATGCTCCATCCCTGGCAGTGTTCAAGGCCAGGTTGGATGACACCTTGGGTGAGATGGTTTAGGGCGAGGTGTCCCTACCCATGGCAGGGGGGTTGGAGCTGGATGATCTTAAGGTCCTTTCCAACCCTGACTATTCTATGATTCTATGTGCTCACCTCTGATGATGGGTCCTGCTGTCCCGGGGCAGCAGCACCGCTGGCTTTGTATGAGGTCAGCTGCACGGCTCCATCCTCATCCGTGGCCACGGACCCCCCGTCTGAGCCAGCTCTGCTGCAGAGACCTTCCTGAATCCAAGCACAAAGGCATCACTGGCTGTGGTGCCTCATCCAGTGGGGCCATACGGCTTCAATGGAGAGAGGGGGGTGCAAAGTCATAGGATCAAGGAATGGGTTGGGATGAAGGGACCTTAAAGCCCATCCAGCTCCAACCCCTGCCACAGGCAGGGACCCCTTCCACTGGAGCAGCTTGCTCCAAGCCCCTGTGTCCAACCTGGCCTTGAGCACTGCCAGGGATGGGGCAGCCACAGCTTCTCTGGGCACCCTGTGCCAGCGCCTCAGCACCCTCACAGGGAAGAGCTTCTGCCTAAGAGCTCAGCTCAGTCTCCCCTCGGGCAGGTTCAAGCCATTCCCCTGGGGGAGGCACCCAGCAGAGCCCTGCCTGCACCAACCTGTGCCCAGCACCGGGGTCTCCTCGCCCGCAGGCTCCTGCTGAGGGGTTTGGGCTCCGGGCTGAGCGATGGGGGCTGCTGGAAGTGTTCATAGAGCTTGGTGGTCCATTGGCCCAGCGACCTGATGTGCAGCCAGAGGGTGTCTGCGGGGGGAAGCGGAGCAGCGGGCAGCAGCCTGAGTGTGGAACTGCCCTGCAGGCCTGGCACCACGGCAATGGGCTGCATAGGGCTGGCCCTGGGGACCCTGCAGCAATCATGGGGTCACGGACAGGTTTGGGTGCAAAGGAACCTTTAAGCTCATCCAGTTCCAGCTTCTGCCTAAGGGCTCATCTCAGTCTTGGGTTCAAGCCATTCCCATTGGCCTGTCCCTATAGGCCCTTGGCCAAAGTCCCTCTTCGGTTTCCTGTAGGCTCCCTTTGTGTATTGGAAGACTGCAGAACCAGGTGGCATCCCCACTAACATCCTTCACATTCAGTCCTCATCCCTTGCTTGAAATAACCCGAGTACCTGATTTTATACAGCACTTAATGCACAGGCAGAGATGGAGGTAGGTGAGCTGAGGAATGCATGGACACACACTGCCCTGCTCCATAGTATGGACACCTCTTTGTGGGACCCTCAGAGGGGATCCAGCCACCCAAATGGGGCTTGTGTGATGGGAAATGTCATCCCAGTGAGGGGAAACATCATCCCAGTGATGGGAACCATTCATCTCAGGGATGGAAAACATCACCCCGGTGATGCAGAACATCATCCCAGTGATGGCAAACATCACCCAGTGATGCAGAACGTCATTCAAGTGATGGCAAACATCACCCCAGTGATGGCAAACATCACCCCAGTGATGGCAAACATCACCCCAGTGATGCAGAACATCATTCAAGTGATGGCAAACATCACCCCAGTGATGCAGAACATCATCGCAGGGATAGGAAACATCACCCCAGTGATGGCAAACATCACCCAGTGATGCAGAACATCATCCCAGTGATAGCAAACATCACCCAGTGATGCAGAACATCACCCCAGTGATGGGAACCATTCATCTCAGGGATGGAAAACGTCACCCCAGTGATGCAGAACATCATTCAAGTGATGGCAAACATCACCCCAGTGATGCAGAACATCATTGCAGGGATAGGAAACATCACCCCAGTGATGGCAAACGTCACCCAGTGATGCAGAACATCACCCCAGTGATGGCAAACATCACCCCAGTGATGCAGAACATCATCCCAGTGATGGCAAACATCACCCAGTGATGGCAAACATCACCCAGTGATGCAGAACATCATCCCAGTGATGCAGAACATCATCCCAGTGATGCAAAACATCACCCAGTGATGGCAAACATCACCCCAGTGATGCAGAACATCATCCCAGTGATGCAAAACATCATCCCAGTGATGGCAAACATCACCCTAGTGATGCAGAACATCATCCCAGTGATAGCAAACATCACCCCAGTGATGCAGAACATCATCCCAGTGATGCAAAACATCATCCCAGTGATGGCAAACATCACCCCAGTGATGCAGAACATCATCCCAGTGATAGCAAACATCACCCCAGTGATGCAGAACATCATCCCAGTGATGCAAAACATCATCCCAGTGATGCAAAACATCATCCCAGTGATGCAAAACATCATCCCAGTGATGGCAAACATCACCCCAGTGATGCAGAACATCATCCCAGTGATGGCAAACATCACCCCAGTGACGCAGCCCATCACGGTGATGCAATGGGAGCCAGGACCGGTGTTCACCTTGCTGCTCGGGCGCGCTGCTGATGGTGAAGGGGTGCCACTCATAGGAGGCGATGGCCGGGATGTTCAGGTAGATGTAGTCACCGGGCTTGTAGTGGAAAAACTGCGGCCTCTGGATGACGAGGTGAGTGACCTGCAGGGAACAGAGACCGGAAAACCGGGAGCATCCAGCGGGAACAGGAGGCTGGGCAGTCACAACCAATCCTTCTGCAGCCCGTGACCACCAGGGCCTGTGCGTCCCATGTTAAACAGTGGCCAGCATGAGAAGGGCAGGTCTGACCTAAGGAAGGGGTTTATTCCCCTATCCCCTACCCAGCTTCGCTATCAAACCAAAGTCTCAGTTAGGGCTGGCCTCAAACCACGGTGTTTTAAGAGGAAATAAGAGTGGCAGCAGTTTGTGCCTTGCCTCCAGGCATTCTGTGACTTTAGACCTTCTTTTACTTGAAAAACAGGCAAAACCTCTAAGGAACAAAAAATAGTGGCTTCAGAATGAAGAACCTGCTTCCACTTCTTGCTGCAAACCTCCACCAACACAGCCCAAAGGCACCCAAACCTACATCTTTGCCATACGAGCCATTCATTGCACCCCATCCCTCCAGCACGCGGCTGGGGAAGCACCCAACACATTGGGGCCATCACTCTTTTCCATGCCCCACTGTCCCTCCTTGCCCCCTGCACTGAATAACCCCTATGGTCGGTGGCAGTGCTTTCCTCCAAGCTATGGGATGCTTTGCAAACAGGAAAGGTGTTTGTGGGACCCGCAGCACCTCCATTCCCACTCTGACACAAGGAGGGCCCTGGGAGGGAGGTGGGGATGGGATCACAGACCTTGGATGGGAGCAGGTTGACCTCCACGATGCGCAGCCCCCCTGCCCGCCGCCAGGCCAAGCCAAGCACCTTCTCCAGCACAAAGAGGCAGCCGGGAACCATGAACCACTTCCAGAAGTGGGGCCCATGCAGCATGAGGAGGATCCAGATGGAGATGTAGGAGAGGTGGGTCCAGTAGAAGACCTGCGGTGAGCGTCAATGGAGCGCAATGAATGGAGCCCAATGGTGCTCCACAGCGCACGGTGGGGTCCCTTACTGGGGTGTTCATGGAGCTGCATTGGGACCCACCTCGAAGTGCCCGCTCCGCCGCACGCAGGGGCTGGAGAAGGCGGCCATGGCGAGCAGCAGCGCCTGCAGCACCAGCCCCGTCTGTGGGGCCGTGCCCCACAGGCCCCCCGCGCCCGGCCGTGCCCGCAGCAGGTACTCGGTGAGGGCAGGGTGCCCGTCCTGCTGCGCCAGCCTGCCTGGGGTGGGATGTGCAGGGGATGTGAGCAGGGGGATCCTCCCTGGGAGGGTGCTGAGGCTCTGACACAGGGTGCCCAGAGAAGCTGTGGCTGCCCCATCCCTGGCAGTGCTCAAGGCCAGATTGGACACAGGGGCTTGGAGCAACCTGCTCCAGTGGAAGGGGTTGGGGTTGGAATTGGATGGGCTTTAAGGTCCCTTTAACCCAAACCAGGCTGGGATTGACTCTATCACATTCTCCCCTGGCTCTGCTGTGGGGTGGGGGGTCCGTGGGGCACAGACTCCACTCAGGAGCTGCGTGGGGATCATGGGAGCCCATCGCTGCCGGCCGGGATGCCACTAGATGGGGGTAACAGACAGTGCATGGAGTGCACAGCACCGTGTGCCCTGGGGCTGCCAGCACCCAGCCTGCAGCCTCACAACCCCCCCTGATCTGTGCATCCCCCCCACAAGCCTGAGCTCCCTCCCTGGGACATCTGCACCCCACGGGTGAGCATCCCCTCTATGGAGGATGTGCATCCTTCCTGGGACACACGCATCCCCCAGGACATGAGCATCCCCTCTATGGAGGATGTGCATCCTTCCTGGGACACACGCATCCCCTTCTCCAGGACATGAGCATCCCCTCTATGGAGGATGTGCATCCTTCCTGGGACACACGCATCCCCCAGGACATGAGCATCCCCTCTATGGAGGATGTGCATCCTTCCTGGGACACACGCATCCCCTTCTCCAGGACACCTGCATCCCCCAGGACATGAGCATCACCTCTATGGAGGATGTGCATCCTCCCTGGGACACCTGCATCCCCCAGGACGTGAGCATCTCCTCTATGGAGGATGTGCATCCTCCCTAGGACACAGGCATCCCCTTCTCCAGGACACCTGCATCCCCCAGGACATGAGCATCCCCTCTATGGAGGATGTGCATCCTTCCTGGGACACCTGCATCCCGCAGGACATGAGCATCCCCCCCGCATGGCTCAGCCCAGACCCCTGCATCTTTCCACCAGCATCCTGTGGGTGATGCCCCTGCACCAAGGGGCTCTTCCCTCAGCAGGACTGGGAGGGGGGACCCCCGCAGGGCTGATGGGGCGCATCGGGGAGGGTCTCACCCGAGGTCAGGCCATGTCCCCTCCCCATGCCCGAGGGCTGCTACTCACTGAAGTTGGCGACGTGGGCGCCCGTGTGAGCGGCTGCCAGCGCCAGCACCACGTACCCCACGAGCTGGTGGAACAGGACGTGCTGGTCCAGCGGCAGCACCTTGGCCACGGGGGTGGCTCGCAGCCAGGTCAGGCACCTCCGCAGCATCAGCACCTCCAGGCAGGAGAGGGGCAGTCAGGGATGGGAGAGGGGCAATCGGGGATGCTGGGGGTCATCAGGGGTGGGAAAGGGACAGCAGGAGATGCTGGGGGACATTGGGGATGGGAGAGGGGCAATCGGGGATGCTGGGGACAATCAGGGATGCTGGGGGACATTGGAGATGGGAGAGGGGCAACCGGGGATGCTGAGGGCCATCACGGATATGAAAGAGACTGTAGGAGATTCTGGGGGATACTGGAGATGGGAGAGGGGCAATCAGGGATGCTGGGGACAATCAGGGATGGGAGAGGGGCAATCAGAGATGGGAGAGGGGCAGTCAGGGATGGGAGAGGGGCAATCAGGGATGCTGGGGGAAATCAGAGATGGGAGAGGGGCAATCAGGGATGCTGGGGGCAATCAGGGATGGGAGAGGGACAATCAGGGATGCTGGGGGCAATCAGGGATGCTGGGGGACATTGGAGATGGGAGAGGGGCAATCAGAGATGGAAGAGGGGCAATCAGAGATGGGAGAGGGGCAATCAGAGATGGGAGAGGGGCAATCAGGGATGGGAGAGGGGCAATCAGAGATGGGAGAGGGGCAATCAGAGATGGGAGAGGGGCAATCAGGGATGCTGGGGGCAATCAGGGATGCTGGGGGCAATCAGGGATGGGAGAGGGGCAATCAGGGATGGGAGAGGGACAATCAGGGATGGGGGAGGTTCAATCAGAGATGGGAGAGGGGCAATCAGAGATGGGAGAGGGGCAATCAGGGATGGGAGAGGGGCAATCAAGGATGCTGGGGGCAATCAGGGATGGGAGAGGGGCAATCAGGGATGGGAGAGGGGCAATCAGAGATGCTGGGGGCCCTGGGTCTCGGGAGCCAGCTCTCTGCCACCCTGCTGTGGAGAGCACCAGGACCCACGTGCAGGGCGCCAGGAGTTCCCTTGTCCCAAAGCGCCTCCCTGACCCCTTCGGAGCCGGTCCCGCAGGGCACAGCCCCGGTCCCGCAGGGAACAGCCCCGGTCCCGCAGGGCACAGCCCCGGTCCCGCAGGGCACAGCCCCGGTCCCGCAGGGCACAGCCCCGGTCCCGCAGGGAACAGGAGCGCACGGGCTCCGTCTCTGCCCCGCAGTCGGCTCTGGCCGTGCCCGCTCCGCCCCGCCGGGTCCCGCCGGGTCCCGCACTCACAGCGAGCAGGGCGCAGTTGAAGTTGAGGCACTGCCCGCAGCCTCGGGCCAGCGCCAGGCTCCCTGCGTGCCGCGGCGCCGCCAGCGCCAGCAGCGCCAGGTTGAGGCCCGCGTAGCCGCAGGCGCAGCGCAGGGCCCCGCCGTGGTTGCGCCAGAACGCGCGGCGCAGGCAGCGCGGCCGCGGGAGGTGCTCGGCAGGAGGAGGCGGCTTCAGCCAGGCCGCGGCACTGGGGGGGGGCATCGGCATTGAGTGAGTGGGGAAGGGGAGCCCCGCATCCAGCCCCGCATCACCCCTGCACCCAGCTCCGCACCCAGCATCGCAGCATCCCTGCACCCATCCATGCATCCCTCCCTGCACCCATCCATGCATCCACCCACCATCACATCACCCCTGCACCCAGCTGCGTACCCAGCATCGCAGCATCCCTGCACCCATCCGCGCACCCATCCCTGCACCCATCCCTGCACCCATCCCTGCACCCAGTCCTACCCCCACCATCACATCACCCCTGCACCCAGCTCCGTACCCAGGATCGCATCATCCCTGCACCCATCCCTGCACCCAGTCCTACCCCCACCATCACATCACCCCTGCACCCAGCTCTGTACCCAGCATCGCAGCATCCCTGCATCCATCCGCATATCCATCCCTGCACCCATCCATGCACCCATCCCTGCACCCAGTCGTACCCCTACCATCACATTATACCTGCACCCAGCCCTACCCGCAGCATTGCATCGTCCCTGCACCCATCTATGCACCCATCCCTGCACCCATCCCTGCACCCGGTCCTACCCCACCATCACATCATCCCTGCACCCATCTGTGCACCCATCCGTGCACCCATCCCTGCACCCAGTCCTACCCCCACCATCACATCGTCCCTGCACCCAGTCCTACCCCCAGCATCACATCACCCTCCACCCAGCCCAGCATGATCCCTGCACCCATCCATGCATACATCCCTGCACCCATCTGTGCACCCATCCCTGCACCCCATCCATGCATACATCCCTGCACCCAGTCCTACCCCCAGCATCACATCATCCCTGCACCCATCCATGCACCCATCCCTGCACCCAGATTCGCATCACCCCTGCACCCAAGCCCAGCATCCGGTGTGGCATCATCCCTGCACCCATCCGTGTGTCCAAGCCCTGCACTCATCTCAACACCACCCCTGCATCCAAGTTCGGCACCAGTGTGGCACCCTCCCTGCACCTATCCCTGCATCTGAGCACTGTACCAATCTCAGCACCATCCTTGAACCCATCCCTGCACCTATTACTGCATCCAAACCCTGTACCAAGCTTGGCGTCATCCCTGCACTCATTCCAACACCATCCTTGCACCCACCTCTGCACCCAGCTTAGCACCATTTGCTCCCAGTGGTACCTCATGGCCCGGGCACCCCATTAGACCCTTGATGAGAGCATAAACCCCATGCTTTTCCCTCCACTCAGGATGAAGAAGATGCTCACAAGGGAACTCCCACCCCTGTGGGCTTGTGAGAGGGACCCAGCAGCACACGTACCTGATGGTCAGGTTCTCCATGACCTCCGGGAACCGCTCCAGCTCCTCCTTGAGCTCCTCGAAGGTGATGGAGCCGCTGTGGTCCTTGTCAGCGGCCTCGAAGAGAGCCAAGGTGAGGTCCGTGAGCCGCTCCTCAGGCAGGGCTATGGCGCTCTCCCGCAGGCACCACCGCAGCACCAGGCGCAGCTCATCGGGGTCGATGGAGCCGCTGCCTGCATGGGGTGAGCAGGGACCCGGGAATGGGGCAGAACCCTGAAATGCCTTCACCTTGTGCCTTTAACCCAGGAATTCCCAGCAGGTTCAAGCCGTTCCCCTTGCCCTGTCCCTACAGGCCCTTGTCCCAAGCCCCTCTCCAGGTTCCCTGCAACCCTTTAGGCACTGGAGCTTATTTAATAGCAATAACCTCCCTATTAACGTGGTTTTCACCATCTCACCATCCACATCGTAAACCTGGAAGAGGAATCTCAGCTTGTCCATATCATTCCCATGCACGAGCAGGCTCAAGGCTTTCAGCAGCTCCTCCAAGCTGATGGTCCCGCTCCCGTCCGCATCGAACAGCGCAAAGAACCGCTCGGCAAAGAAGGACTGTGAGAAGAGGACAACCGCTTCACCAGCCCCATCCCGATGCCATAGACAAAGCTGTTGCCATCAGCAATGGGAACTGCATGGCAAAAGCTGAAGGTCTTGGGGAAGCCCAAACACAGGAGGGAAGGGATGAAGGGGGTATTGGCAGTGCAGCCGGAGGCATTGCTTGAGGGACACAGGGATGGATAGGGCAGCAGGGAGGGAATATATGGTGGGAATAGCCTAGCGTGATAAAAGCAGACTGTGAATATCCAGTTGATTTTGCACTGCTAATGGTTAATCCAGGTTTTCCACTCCTACTCACTGCAGAGCACCATAGAATCATAGAATGGTTTGGATTGGAAGCGACCTTAAGGGTCATTCAGTGCCAGCCCCTACCACGGGCAGGGACCCCTTCCACTGGAGCAGCTTGCTCCAAGCCCCTGTGTCCAACCTGGCCTTGGGCACTGCCAGGGATGGGGCAGCCCCATCGGCAGCCCTCACCTCCTTCACCTGCAGCGCGGTTTTGAACCCCTCCAGGTCGATCTCCTTGTCCTGCCCCGCGATGCTCCCGAACTGCTTCCTCACCCACCGCAGCCACTCAGCATCCTCAGCCGCGCTCATGCTCAGGGCCCTGCGGGAGGATGCGCTACAGCAGCAGCCCCGCACAGCTCCCTGGTCCTGCTCTGCCCTCAGGGCTGTGCAGCTGATGGGCAGAAGGGAGGAATAAGCCCTCAAAGCACACATGCAGCAGAGCTTACACAGCCTGTGGGCAGAGCAGCCCTGGGGCTCACAGCCCACCCCAAAGGGGCTGTGCAGGCAGGGAGGTTCCTGCTTTGCTTCCTGCCTGCCCTGCATGGTCTCCTTTACTCATCCATCATCTTAACCTGGTCCATAGGGTGCTTGCCCCGTGCCTCCTGTACGCAACCCAGCAGCATTGCACAGCCCAACATGAGCTGGTGCTCAGTGAGGCTGAACTTGTCCCACTCCTCCCTGAATCCTAGGATATCCCTAACTTTTGAGAGCTCTGTTTTAGAGACTGAACCATCCCCAGACCCCTTCAGCTGCAGGAGACAGGGAGGTGCTGCTCCTCCATGCAGCTGGGATGAAAGGAGGAGGCAGCAGCAAGATGCTCCCTCTGCAAACAAAACCAGAGCAGGGAGATAAGAGCCTTGGTTCCCCACAGGCACCCCGTCCTCTCCCCCCTTCCCTCTCCTGCATGGTCCTCACCTCCATCCTCCTGCTCCATCCCATTCGGTTCCTGCCTCCCACCTCCCTATCCCCATTCTCCATCTCCAGATCTCTGTGCTTCTTCCAATGAGCCCCAAACTACCACAGGCTCTCCTTATATTGGGAAACCAGGAGAAAACCAATCAGAGTTGCTGCATTCAAAGAGCCCGTTTACATCCCTGGACCGGGTGCGCTGTATTACCCCAACCCCTTCTCAAAGGGGGCCTCAGCAGAAGGACACGGTGCTCCTGGGGGATCAGGCAGCAAGGGAGAGCTGGAAACTAGGCACAAACCTCTGCTCACACGCAGGGAAGCTGGTCCCAAGCCCCTGAGCTCCTTCACACCGGGTTTAACCCATCACCTCTGTTTTACCCTCACACCAGTTCCACCATCAGGTCTGTGGGTGCAGCACGATGCTCCTGCTGTCACCTAACATCAAACACAGCTGATCACAGCTGCTGCACGTTGTTTCCTTTATTTCACATCCCTTGCACCCTGCAGCATTCCAGCCTTGGGGGACGTGTGCTGCCGGCTCCAATGAAGACCTTGTGTCCACCCAGTGCTCCCAGTCCCTATTCACCAGCCGTCAGGAACACATGGGAAGCGTCTCTTTCATACTGCACCTTTATCCCTTCCTGAACAAATCCTGCTTGTACAGCCCTAAACTGGGACTACATCGGGGAGGAGGTTGCCATGGGGATGTCGGAACCAGGAACCAGGTAGTAAACCATTTGTGCTTTGCTACTCCAGCGCTGCTGTGGGTGCTGCAGGCACTGAGCAAGCAGGAAGCCGGGAGAGGCTCTGGACCACTAAGCGGCAGAGTTTCGCTTCAGCACCGGGGCTGAGGCAGCCGATCCCAGCTGGAAAACTCCCTCTGCCTCCCTGCCCTATTGGGAAGTTGGTCCAGCTTGGTGCCAAGATCCCGCTCTGGCTCCATGGGGACGGCTCAGGTCTCCAGTGGAGATGATGGGGACCATGATAGCAGGAGCATCCTCAGCCTCCCATCTCCTGCCTCATGGGCTGCCAGCAGGCACACAGCGGGTTTCAAGGGGGTTATTGTCCCCATCTCCCAGGACAGCAGCATTCCATCTCAACAGTGTTCCAGCTTTCCCTACCATGATCCAGCAGAAACCAAGCCCAGGTTCTGAGCTAAACCCACCAGTTCACAGCCCAGATCAACTCCTTTTAAAGCTGTGGCAATCCAAGGTTGTGAAACCCTTTACTAGGGGAAGGGGAGAGTAAAACATAAATCACCCGCATCATACAGACCCCCTTTATACCCGGAGTATTCTCACTACACACACAGCCTGCAGGGATCTAACATAGAACAGAAGAAACCTTCAGTTTGCTAATGGGACTTAATAAATAGTGGCCAGGCTACAAAAGGAACCTAATATATCATGTGCAAGCATTGGACATTTCATGGAGTGGGACACTGGGTTATTTACAAGTTGGGTTTAATTCAGTTCTTGTCTTCAATTCCTTGGATAAGGTGATGAAAATAAGCCTGACAAGTCAGCCTCTATAGAAAACCACTGCCTGCTCTTCTCTGTTCAATGGAGAGTCACGTTTTGATTTGTTTTTAAATACTATCCCCAAAATTCTGAGGCACTAAAATCTCAATAAATCTATATAAATCTCAATCAATCTATATAAATCTCAATCAATCTATATAAATCTCAATAAATCTATATAAATCTCAATAAATCTCAATAAATCAATATAAATCTCAATAAATCAATATAAATCTCAATACTTTTAAATAAATCTCAATAAATCTATAAAAATCTAAATAAATCTATATAAATCTCAATAAATCTATATAAATCTCAATAAAACAGCTTGGTGCCTCTCTCCTGTTAAAAATAGGCACAGAAGCACCCTGATTTCAGTGCTGTGCTCCAGTTCTTCTCTTAGCACCACGTTAAACACGTTTACTACTTTGTGACTCCACAAACTGTATCCTGCAGTGCTTTAAGTACTGCGAATAAGCACAATTCATACAGAATGACAACTGGCCGATGGGGACCAGTCTAAAGGATCCTCCTCAAAAGCTTGTTTCCCTTTTTAAAAGACAATGACATTAATTCTGTGCTTAGGAACTCTCAGAATATCCACACTGAGGCAAGCAATGATGGATGTATTAACAAAATATGCAACTTTTACTTACAAATACCTAAGTCTGCTCAGATTTTACACAAACGTTCCTACAAAGCGGAAAGCAAAGATGATTAAATTGTGTTAAAAGTAGCCAAAAGTCTTTGAAGAATCATCTATGGTAACGTTTTAATACTGAAACCCACCTGAAATGGGGTATTTGATGCCACTTTCACTCTTGTTTGTTCCAAGATCCAGTGCTCTTCATTCAGTTGCGGGTTCCCACCGACGTGGTTTTACCTTACTTCAGTGACCACAGTGATGCTGTCTTCCCTTTTAAAGGTTGAAGCCAAGGCAGCCTGGAGAAAGCTTTTCATGCCAAATGAAGACAAAAAGCATTTCAACTGCGCCGTTAAGGAGCATCTGGTTGTGACATCCCCATTATTAACCAGTTATTCTGGAACTACTCTGGAAGCGGGTCCCATAAATCAGCTGAAGAATAGAGAACATGTGGCTCCTCAGCTACACAGCACCAAGTTGTCCACAGCAGCCTTCCAGTATCTAAAGGGGGGCTTTGATTACTAAAAGCCCCTCTCTGTGGCTTTCTATGATGCTTTTTGATATAGATAGATAGGTAGGTAAATAGATAGATAGATAGATAGATTGATAGATAGATGATAGAAACGTAGACAGATAGATAGATGATAGATAGATATGTGTGCATATTAATTTCTATAAAGTCAATAGTTTAAAGCCAAGAGCCTTTTCATTTTCATTAGGCAGAAGGAAAAACATTATAGGAAGATGTTTTTAACTGGATATGCCCAATGTATGAAAGAATGACTATATTAGAAAGTGAGAAATGTATTTTCGAATCAAGTCTCTTTACCTGGTATTAAACCATCAAGATTTGCAAGTTGTATTTCTCCTTATATAAGCCTTGTATCATCATGCTATAAACTCATTTTTAATGGAGAAAGCAATAAAGGAGTGTGTCCTGGATAGGGAACAAGTGAACATATTGAGCTTAAAAACATCTTTATGTCAGAGCCCCCAAACCTCCCATTTTCAGCCCAAGCCCTGTGGAAGTTTCAAGAAAGAACAATTTTTGACAGAAGCCTTCTGAGATTTGAAGTAAAACCCAAAGCAAATCCAACCAAACAGGAGGAACAGGGGAATAACGCAGAGCTCCACAGATCTGGCAACCAACGGAACATGGAAACATCACACGGCACTATTTTCCAGTCAGAACAGATTTTCCAAGGCTGAAATTCCAATTGGAACATGTCCACATTTAAAAAAAAATAGCATAAAATTGGGGAAATTGTTGGAACCCATTAATTATGGTGCCATTAATGGAGAACATGGAGTGTGTTCTGAAAATAAGCGTGGTTCGAGTTGTCATCTCCTACCTGCGCATATGAAACACAGGAAAACCTGGGAAAGCCCATGGAGCTTTACCCTTTATTTCACCATGATCCAGTTCATCACTGACAAATAACAGGCACAAGCAAGAGCGTTTAAAATGGTACCTTTTAATTACTGGGATAAATACACTTAGAGCTGGTTTGGCGATTGACCAAGCTGGAAATCAACTTTTCAAACCTCAAGAAAAGACAATATCCCAGATCTTAGTGTCCCCAGAGTGTTTTCACCATTCTTAAAAGCTGGAATATTTGTCTCACCATAACTATCAATGCAGGTATTTCACTGATGGCTAAAATCAGGAAGCAGGTTAATCAATGATCTCTTCCCAGTTTCTCCTAAACCCAATGGATAGAGATGGAAACAGAGGAGTAGAAGCAGCGTTAGACAATATTGTTCTTACAAATTCCCTCCTTTTCTAGTGCTTCCTGGATTCCAGCCCATCCAACACACCCATTGAGAGGTGGGTTGTGGAACACTCTCAGGTTTACTCTTTACCTGCAACGTCTCAACCATTCCCAAAAGGACCTTTCCCAGAGCTTGATGTTCCACCTTGGACTCGTGCAAACTTTTTCACCGTTTTTGCTGGTTTGGGTTTTCAACCTTCATTGTGATATTGAACATTCATGTTTTTAAGCATTTTCCAAGGATTTCACTAAACCCATGTACCAAGAGTCTTATTTTTAGTGGCAGCGGGTTGAAGGATGAAGGCTCACTCTTGCAGTGCTGTCATCAGCTGAGGAGCCTCATAAACACATAAACCAACAGGAATATCTGGGACAGTTGGGAGTGTCAAAGCGGATGGTGCTGTAGGCTTTCTTCTCATTGCAGTGTTTTTGAGGGTTTGGTTTTTTTGCTTTTTAGCATGTTTCTTTGAACCAAAGAGCATCAACGGTATCATGAAGAGTGGGTGCACCAACGGGGTGCTGAGCTAGCCATGCCCTGTGTGGGCACACTTCACATTACTCATAGAACCCCAGACTGGTTTGGGTTGGAAGCGACCCCAAAGCTCATCCAGCTCCAACCCTGCCACAGGCAGGGACCCCTTCCACTGGAGCAGCTTGCTCCAAGCCCCTGTGTCCAACCTGGCCTTGAGCACTGCCAGGGATGGGGCAGCCACAGCTTCTCTGGGCACCCTGTGCCAGCGCCTCAGCACCCTCACACAGGTATGGATTTACTCACTGCAATGTCCATGAGGCTCTTCAGGGCTTCCTCCTCTTCAGCTGCTTCTGTCCTAGAGGGAGTTGCTCGAGATGCTGCAGATGTTAAATAGCTGTAAGGTTGTGCACTCGTGCAAACATGAGTTTGATACTCAAACATGAGTACACTCAGATGCACACGTGCTATGCTCACCTTTTAGCCAAACAAACTTCAGTACAAATCCACTCCTGCTAGGATAATCATAATCCTATTTACAGAGAATCCCATTTGTTTTGCCATACGAGATGGTGTCCCTGCTTTCCCAAATGGATGAATAATGCAGTGAATCCTCCCGTTTGCTCTGTGTCGGCACTGAAATGAAACCCCCAGTTTCTACTCCATACTGGACATGGGAAAGGCACATGGGATACATTCCTAAGAGCTTACTGGTTTGAGCAAGGTCCTATCCCACAGCATGCAGCTGAACTGAAGACTGCTGCTGTGCAAGAAGTTCTTACCATGGACTATAGCCCTGCCTGTGTCTGCAGCTGAAACCTCAGTAGACGAGGATGGATGATGCACCATCACCTGTCAAACACAAACCCCAACTTCAACCACATCAGGACTCGCAGCTCATTGAAGTGATAATATTCATCACCATATATTATCACACTGAATGTTTTAGGTTCAAATTAAGACAAACTTCTGCAAAAAACCTGGGGTGGAAGGAACAACTTTAATCATAGAATAGAATCATAGAACAACTTTAATCCGAACATCACGCCTGGAGTTAACTCCAAGTTAAGGCTACTATTTTTAGTAAAGAAGCAATCAAACCAGGCCAAGGGAAAAAACCCAGTGTATTTGTGAACATCCTCCTTTCAATACTCACAACTCATAAATTTGCTTCTCCTCTCGATGCACTCTATGGGGGAGAACACAGGCTTTCTCAAGTGGGGAAATGTCAAAATCCAACTTGCAAATGAACGCATCCAACTGAACATTTTAATTCACTCTTTGCTTTCCTACCTTTTCCTTGGAGCCATGGAGAGAGGCACATAGAACCCCACACTGGTTTGGGTTGGAAAGGACCCTCATGCTGATTCAGTTCTAATCCCGTGCTGTGGGCAGGGACCCCTTCCACTAGAGCAGGTTGCTCCAAGCCCCATCCAACCTGGGCTTGAGCACTGCCAGGGATGGGGCAGCCACAGCTTCACTTTGTTTGCACTGAGTCTTCTGAAACTTGCATGGATTTCTCCAAAACAAACATTCCCTTCCATAGATGGAATGATCAGAACCTCTAAAAACAAGAGAAAATGGGTTCTTTCCCCATGTAGCATCTTAATAAGGATGCTGCGCCGAAGCATCCCATCTAGCAACTCAATACAACCTAACCACCTCCAAAGCAATGTGCGAAGCTTTATTATTGACCTTGCCTTGTGACCCATAGGTATGTACTTGAAGGCATTCAAGTGTTCCCAGAAGCTCAGAGGTTTATGTGGGGAGGGCCTGATTTCCACCTGAGCTCATCCCAATCAGTCCAGAGCACATTAGGCATCAAGCGAGTCCCAGTTTGACACTGTGCGAGTCCAGGCAATCCCACTGGTCCCTCCTGAGCAATACAAAGGAGCAGCTTTGGAAGCAAGACATGAAAGGAGATGTAAAGAGCTCTGCTCTGCTGCTGCTATTGAATAACCTGCCCAGCAGAAGGGATGTGTGAGATGCCAGCGTGGGCTCGTACAACCGCTTCTACACCGTGAGCCTTGCAATGGCTGCGTAATGGTCGAGAGCATTGAAAATGGCACTTCAGGAGTCCCCCAAATGAAAGAGACACCCAAAGGGAATAATGTCCCAGGTAATATTGAACCAGAAGCATCAGAGCAAGGCCGTGCCGTGCTTCAAACTGTTCCCTAATCCTGGGTTTCCCTGAGACAGAGGCAAGGAAAAAGAAGGAGGATTTCACAGTTCGACCCTTGCTGGTTAATAACCAGGAACCAGAGCTGCAGACAAAGCTCACAGTTATAAAAGCCAGCCTAAAACGTTAGACAAACCTGTCCCTGCTGGCAGAACGCACATGGACTTCTGCTGTTCTCCTGTCTGTTGCGAGGCTTCACAATGCCTCAACGTGCACATCATAAACAAGGTTCTGTAGCTCTGGGAGCTAAAGCTCTAGCGGCAGAACAGCATCCACACAAGAAACGGTGGCTGAAACCACCCAAGAATAGAAACCTGACATTTGATGACAAAGGACTTTCCTCACATCATCAGCTCTCTAACAAGGGAGATTTCAGAGGTGTTCATGCAGCGCTTTCAATAGCACAAAGTCTTCTCGTTTCATCGTCTCAATGAACAATCTTAAGGACTAAAAACCAACCTGAGAACGGGGCGGGGTGGAAATTACAGCTACATTCCTATTGAAGCAATGGGGGACATCAAAATCCAAGGGATCTCAAAGGTTTTACAGTGGAAGAATAGTTCTGATTGATCAGTTTTGCCCATGGACTCGCAGCAAACCCCGAGCCCATGCTGTGATCCAGATGATGGAAAGCCTCTCTGGTTCCCCCACTGCCATTTGTCACCCCTGGAGGACAGATGTAAATTGAAAGGAGAGGAAGAGGACCAGGGCTGTCACAAGAGACACTGATCTGTGCTCAGCTGCCTTCTTTAAAGCCTCCTCAACCTCCCCACCATGCAGGAGCAGGGCTGGGGCTGACATTGCATCCTCGTGCCCATGGGCGCACCAGAAGGGTCTCCATCCACTGAAGCAGCCGCTGCCATCGCATCAAAGATGCTGACCCACTGAACACTGCCGGTGGGGAACTCGAAGCACAGCAATCCTATGGAGTGGTTTCTTACATGGGTAAAAAGGCATTTTCCCTCCTCTGTATCAACAGAAAACGCTTATAGATGCTGCAGTCAAGTGAAGTGCCAAGAGAGTAGAATTAATACAGACTCTGGTGGCATCTGCAAGTGCCTTCTGGTCTTCCAGGTGTCCCTTATGGCTCTCTCAGTGGCAGCCCTATGACTTCTACAGCACCAGGAACAGAATATACACATGAGGAAAGGTTTCAGGTCACAGCTGCCCTTTACAAGGCTTCTCTTGCATTGCCTTCCTGCATGAAGAGTGTTTTAGCAGTTTATTCAGGTAGGATTTTATGGAGACAATGTAGAGGTTTTACTGCTACGCAGGAGGCAGAGCTGAGTATTATGATTTCTGTAAAGTTTTCCATAATAGCTTAGTATTTAAAACCTATATGCCATCGAAAGGTACAGAGAAGACTTGTGAAAAGGCTGTGGATTTATTGTAGTCCATCCAATCTCCAAGCAAGAGCATGAAGGTTTCTGGTCTTCTCTAACAAGCCACTGCTCAGCAAAGGGGTAAAGGGGGTTTCTACAGCACAACAAACACAAGCAACAGCTTCCTGCAGGTACTGGCATGATTAACCACAGGGTTATATCAAATCCCCTCCAACCCATGGGCTGATGGATAGGGTATGGAAGAACACGAGCTGGAACAAAGCCACGAGCAATCCCCAGGTTGGTAGCAGCATCCTCAATGCTCATCTCACCTGCCCTTCCAGCCAGCTCCCCATCCTGCTCACACACCAGCCTCCAAGCTACACATCCAACAACATCGTTCTTGATAAGATCTTGGTTTAAGCAAGCAGAGCCTTGATCCAAGTTATCACTTCCATCAACAACAATGCACAAATGCTGGTGGTTGGGGCATAACCAACTACTTCCAGGGAAACAAATTCAGTGAGGAATTATCTGTGTAGCTCAGCACATCAGCATCCCCTCCACAAATAACTCTAATGCTTCCTGTCTGGTTTTATATGCTCAGTGCACAAACCATCATGGTTCCTGGGGAACAAACAGGCATAAGGGCCCAGGACCAGCTCCACAGTAAGTTGGGTCCCCTTGGGAAACCTTAGACTTGGAGGCTGCAGACTCCAACTAGGACATTAATGATGCTATCAATAGGGCAGAGAAGTGGTGACAGCAATAAGCAACAGCTTCCACCGCCCCATCACCAATACAGACCATGCCCCAGCAAAGCACCAACCCTCCAAACCCTGATGTACCCGTTACTGCTTTGTAGGGGTTGAAATAACCTGCTACCTGTAGGGAAATAGCGCATGTTAATAAAACACTGTGGTCTGCTTTCAAGCTCTCCATGGGAAGAGCCTTTTGAACATAGCTGTGCTGCATTTAGTGTACATAGGGGACCTCTATCCCTAAGGTTGCAACAGGGGACCTGGCTCCCCAAAGAAACAGAGCACAGGATCAATGTGGGAGCAGGGGAAACAGAGAGGTGCTTCCATGTACCCACACCTGACCCCATGGCCAGGGGACCAACAGCATCATTAGGAGTTTACACCATGATTTACTCCTCTCATGCCTCCAAGTATGTTAAAAGAATCAAATGCTATTGCCCACCATTAGCTACTGCTATTAAAGTGATCGTTCTGGTTAACATTCCCTTTAGGAAATAAGAGGGTGAATTAGAGGTGGCTGCAACCTGTATCAAATTGAGAATGATTCAGTGCAGCAATAATGCAGCTATTAGCATCATCCACAGCCGCTTGCCAAGGAAGAGCCTGAAAAACTGTGTCACAAGCAGCAGTAAGAGCAGCCCCAGATTGCTTGTTCCCACTGTTGCCAGCAATATTTCCCCAGTTAAATAAGAGAACACATCTGAAACGGTTAAATAAGATAACGGCACTGAATGGTGCCATAAGATAAGGCATCTGAAATAGGAGGAATAAATTCCCTGTCGATTCAACATGTCAGAGGAACAGCCATCACACAGAGCGCCCTGGAGCATCTTTCCTTACAGAGCACAGGCACTGTCAGCATTCTGTAGAGGATGCTCTGGTAAAGAGGTCTCCAGTCCTCCTGTGACCTCTGCAAAGCAGCCACACCGCTCTGCCCAGCTTCCATGGCGTTCTCCATCACCCATGCCATGACACAATGGACACCAATAGGAAATACAAGGGGGGGGTGAAAACCCCAGACATCATGAAAACGAGACATTAGGATTCCACTACGCATTTAAAAGGTGTGAAAGAAAATTCAGCTTGGTAGTCTCAGGAAGTTTGGTCCAGAGGAGTGAGCGCATCACATCATGGGTGCTCAGGGGCAGTGGGATGCGCCGGCAGAGATCCGGCACTGCCTAAGGGAAAAGGGGCTGCGAGCATTCCTATTTCAAGAGCAGTGGGAATGAAAGCCGGGATTCAGGAGCAGCAACCGGATTCAGGAGAGAGCAGGCAGTGGGAGCCGGGGAGGATGCAATCTGCACTGCAACCCAGCTGGGCAGGCGCAGTGACGGAACGCTCGGCTTCCCCCACTGTGGAGCTATTTCTGGGCTTGGAAAGAAATCCTCTAGAGGGAGTCAGGAAATTGTTTAAAGGAGGGTTTTTTCCCCCTTTTCTGATGTTATCAAAAGAGCAGGGGAGCGGGAGCCATCCCACGCAGACAGACAGTGACTAAAGATGCTCACCGCGTTCGATGAGCGGGGTTCAGAGCACTGTAGAGGCAAAAGGCGCATAGAGCAGACACAGACCCGCAGCAAACTGCAGAGCGAAGGGGAAGCCGCCTCCTTGGGGACCTTCAGCCGTCAAAGAGGTTTTGGGGGAAGCAAACCCCATGGCATCCGGAGGAGGTGGAGGGATGGCAGGCTCCCAGTGCCGGGGGGAGCGGAGCGGAGCGAGGAGGGTCAGCACGCCAAGGTCGCAGCGCTGTCTGTGTGCATCAGCACTTTCCGCTCCTGCTTCAGATACACAGGGAGAGTAAATAGTGCATGAGGCAGCAGAGCATCCCCGTTTGGGCAGGGAAGGAGTCGGAATGACGGTAAAGGGGGAAGTTATTTGGGGCCCTTTAAGGATCACAGCCCCTGTAAATCCCTGGGGAATGCAGCCTCTTTTACCCCAAAGTTCCCGACAGTTTCATTATATCCAGGATTTACTATCCATGGTTTGGCAGGACACTTTCAACCTACTCCGGGATTAACGGCTGTGTCTCATTAACCTGTAGCTGCTCATAGGTGTAAGAAGTCCCACAGCAATCAATGGAAACGCACATGTGAAAATGGGATTTGTGCTCCAGGAAAACGCTCCCTTTCCTGTTTGTGCTTGGAAACTCGCTGCCTTTGGGACAGCAGAAGGCAGCTGAATGAGGCTGCGAAGCTGGGATTGCAACCCCAACAAACGGGAAAGGGCTCTTGGAGGGTTTCAAAACACGTTTACAACAACCCTGCCTGCGCTTCCATGTCTGCATGGCAGAACAGGAGCCAAGAGAGCCCCCTGCTCCCCATCGGCAGCAGGCACAGGCAGCACTGCCTGGAAGCCAGCGCTGGGCACATGGGGAAGGGAATGCTCCAGGGGAGCTGTGGCCAAAGAGCAGCTCCCATGGGAAGCAGGGCGGTCGCAAACACAGCACCTGGAGATGAGATCTCAGAGCATCACAAAGAGGAACAGGCAAAGTCTGGAAGTCAAACAGGGCCCTTTGCCTGGGGAGATCCCCCCTGAAGCCCTGATCCAGCTCTGGGGCAGCAGCACAAGGGGAACGTGGAGCTGTTGGAGCGAGCCCATAGGAGGCCATGGAGATGCTGCGAGGGCTGGAGCAGCTCTGCTCTGGAGCCAGGCTGAGAGAGCTGGGCTGGGGCAGCCTGGAGAAGGCTTCTGAAGGGGAGACCTGAGAGCAGCTCCAGTGCCTAAAAGGGCTGCAGGAAACCTGGAGAGGGGCTTGGGACAAGGGCCTGTAGGGACAGGCCAAGGGAAATGGCTTGAACCTGCCCCAGGGGAGACTGAGCTGAGCTCTTAGGCAGAAGCTCTTCCCTGTGAGGGTGCTGAGGCGCTGGCACAGGGTGCCCAGAGAAGCTGTGGCTGCCCCATCCCTGGCAGTGCTCAAGGCCAGGTTGGACACAGGGGCTTGGAGCAAGCTGCTCCAGTGGAAGGGGTCCCTGCCCGTGGCAGGGGTTGGAGCTGGAGAAGCTTTAAGGTCCCTTCAACCTAAACCATCACAAGATCCTGTGATCCATGTATCTCTCCCCATGCCTACGTGCTAAATGTTCAGCTGCTGGAAAGCCACGAGCCCAGCAAAGGAATTGCCAGGTTCTCTCTGCTGCCAGCTCAGTGCAGCACCCACCAGAGATGCCCTTCCCCAGCCATCACCCAAGGCATCCTCAACAAGACTCATTCTCTGCATTACTCTTTGTCCTTTTGACTATGGGACACTTGAACCAGCCTCTGGATTGCACCAAGCATGTGCTTTCCTTGGAATCTATAGCCCCCCAAGTCCCTCTAACAAAGAAACCCAACCCAACCAACCAGAAACCACCCAAACCCCCCCAAAACTAAACCTACACCCACT